CGTCAAAATCACGAAATTATTTTTTTTGTATCATTACATAATTTGCATTACTCTGAATAAACGATAAAGGAAAGGAAAGGAAAGGAAAGAAAGGTGCTGAAAAATAAAAACAGTATGAACAAAAGTAGCAAATGTGATGTATTCAGAATGTAGGAACCAAAAAATTGACATTCGCTTTAAATTATTAATACGGAAACATCTGCCTGGAATGCACTGTCGCGTGACATCGCTGAAGATATGTTTAGAGGAACTTACTGGGAACAACCCACTGAAAACGTGGTCTAGACTTGCAAGCACGTGCCTGAAGGAAAAGAAAATTGAAATCCTAATGATCTTGGTCACTTGTCAAGTATCCTGCATTTCGATATTTTCTAGAATCATGTAATGGAAAATTCAACTACTGCTGTATTGAAATAACGATGAGTAAATAGGGACAATAAAATAACTGTCTGAAACAAATTTGACCATTAAATGTATACTTTTGTTATTTTTCATGCGATTGAATACTGTATGAAGTTTTTCCTTTTACCTCCAGTTCACTTAAGTAGTTACATACGACGTTGCTCTACATATTGATTTTACAGCACCATAAAAACTGATTTTCATTGAACTCAACTTATACCCAAGTACATCCTCTCTTAATAAGTAGATTTCAATTTGTTTTGACTATACGAGCACTGTGAGGCAATGTTATCAATGTTACTGTTAGCAAGTTATTTTCTAGTTCCTCTAATAAATGAACATTTCTACACATCTGTTACATCCATGTATGGGAATGTAATCCTCTCTACCGTATCAAGTTGGAGTTTTTAATGCACATTGAGCTTCCTTTCAATCCGGTTTGCAAAAGTACGATTTATATAGAGCGTAAAGCCGTCCCTTCTTTCCTTTTTTTATTACAAGAAGGTTTCATGATTTTTTACTGCATTTTCTAACTTTATATCATTTATCTTCTATTTCTATTTAGCCAGTAATTTCCAAAACAGATACCAACAAGCAAATTCTAGTTTTCATTAAGAAGAGGACAAGAGTTAATTATTTGTAACTTCTTTTCGCAGTTAACTCAAGTTCCGCTAAGTTATACCGATATTTTTTAACAGTTGTTTTATGATTTTCCACAGTTTTACGTCTGTTCAAACAATAACGAAAGATTGCATAGTATATTTTCAATTAAGTTGTCTCTTCTTGAAAACTCTTGGAATATAAGAAAGAGCTACTTCCTCTCTTCTTCCTCTGATAAAATGGAAAGTCCCAATACCCAACCATGTTAGTACAACACAGAACAATAACATTATTTATAACATCGAACACTTCATTTCTGACAGTTTTGTCTCTGTGAGTCAATGAGTGAGTATTGCTTGCGAAGCCGTTACCTACTGTGGACATTAATCCCGTTAGTGTACGTTAATATCGGGAAAATAGCGTGTTTCTTCCCCGCGGAATGTGCCGCTTCCCTGCTTCGACTTGCATATCGGTGGAAGGGTTTAATCTACAGATATACTCCCACTGCGGATTAGCGCCCAACCGATACAAGCCTGTTCTCCCGACGTGTGCAAGTAGTGTTAGTGCATATATGTATATGTGTTGTAAGAGGAAAAAGAGAGGACAGGTGAGGAAGGAAAAGATCGCGCGCGATCA